TTTTTACATTTCAAGTTGGACTCATTAAATAATTACATGGAAAACAAAATCTAGAATCCAGATCGGCCTTAATGTCTGGAGACAGAAATCCATTCAGTTACATCAAACTGTGCACAAACAAATATGTGGTTCACATTGTTTGGAAGCAGCAAGTGTCATCTTCTTTCTGCAGACACAAATCAGGCATTACACATTAAAATTACAGCGGGATGAGACAGATGCAGAGGAGAAGTTATCTGGAGTCATCTGAGATGTGTATCTCTTCCTGCTCTGTTCGCTCTCTCCTGCCTTTGTTTGCTTCGTTTGGACAGCTTGGACAAATGTGTCTAAGGACGGATTCAGGGAGCGAAGATAAGAGAGGACAAATGTGAGAGCGATGTCGTAGCGCTCACTGAGTCGAGAGGCATTTCTGTGCATGTGTTGATAGATCCTATCCTCACTGACAGATGCTCCTCCGTCCAGCCAGGATGTTGTGAAGAGGACGGCTGGCATTGTCCAGGATGGACTGCGCTGTGATGCATGCGTGTCCTTTAACAGAGCCGGCCTTCCTTCCTGCTCTGGTCCAGCCGCCTCGTGCTCATGCTGCCACCTCAGCAGGACACAGAGAAGAACACTGGCTTCCACTGATGGGTCGAACATGTATAGAGTTTCACCTGAGAGTGAACAGCAGGCTCTGCCCCTCGTGGTCCAGGGAATCTGTGTCGGCTGAACAGACCAGCTTGTTGCCTAAGTATTTACAGGTTTGCACCACTTCAGCGTCCTCCCCTCTGATGTGACTGGCTGGAGCGGGGCTTAGAACTGTGATGGTCCATCTCCTTGGTCTTGGAGATGTTCAGCAGGAAGCACTCATCGGTCACTACCAGTAACCACTCACTGAAGGCCCCATGGGTCCCTGGACACCTTTCTGCCCATTCCTAGTGCACTCCACAGTAGCGATGTCAGTAGAATATTCTAAATGTGGCAGGACTCAGATCTGTAGACCAGAGGAGAAGGTTTAACACACAGCAGAGGTACGGGAGGTTCAGCACGTTAGCGCCCTGTAGCATGCCTCACATTCAAGCATCCAGCTGCACGGTGAACGTGCTAAATCAGGTATGCTGCGAGCTGGGAGTGTGGGTGGAGAAGTCCTGAGGAGGAGATCAAAGGGGGATAAGAGAGAAATAATTTAATTAAACTTCTCTGTGGGGGGTGCTGGAGGAGGGAGGGCTGGCACTGGGCCCCGTGTCCAGGAAATGTTAGAGTTTCCTGGAATGTGCCAACTGCTGGAGAGGTGGGGAGGAGGTCTGGAGATGAGTGGGGGAGAGTTTCCACACAGCAGGCAGGAGCTGGAAAAACTGGGGTTCAGATATCTGGAGAGATTATATATCTGACACTTGTTTGCATTCTTTTTGTGCTATTTTACTGCTGCTCTGGTTTGTTGAGTTACTGCCTACAGTGTGTGTGTGTGTGTGTGTGTAATGTTGATATGCCTAGTGAACTCTCAAACGTGAACAATCCTGCATTTACCTTCCATTTCTGACACCGTCCGGTCAGTCTTAGAGGCCTTTGTGAGCATTCAGTCAGAGTCGTGTGCTTTCTTTTCCCTTTTGTGCCACTTGACTTTTCAGTGATTATCTTCATCTCTGAACAAGACTCTGGAGGCTGTGCATTAAAGCAACACCTGGCAAGCAGGTAGAGCAGATGAGCAACGTCTTGTCAGAGATCTATTCCAGGAGCAGCAGAGATTAACCCTTGGGCTTGAGAGAATTACGTCAGATCCCTTTAATCCCAAACAATTTAGCAGTGACAGCGACAGTCCCTTTGCTGCAAGTTCTGGAAGTTTTCCTACAGACAGAACGTATGTGCAGGACAGGATTTGGCCAAATATTAGGAAAAACACGTGTTTTATTAGAACGTGGAGACAAATTAGGAGAGGAACTTAAGTCAAACCTCATGTGTGGTATTTAAATGATGCTACTGATGCTTACATTTGTGCACATAACTCATCTGATCACAATGCAAATAACATCATTCAACATGTTGTGGCAGTTCTACAAATAACAATAAAGTGTATTTTCTCCTCCTCTGTTGAACGCTAGCTCTTTGTCGACCTCTGCTGGTCATCACAGGTACTTCCACCTCTCAGCTGAAAGTCGGTCTTTCTGCCACCAGGGGGCTCCTGCCAGGCCTGCCCCCTCCCTGCTGCTCTGTTGTGCTCGCTCACCACAAGAGGACAGTGGATTTGGAAACATTGCTTAGTTTAGTTATCACATCATTCATGCAGTCATGTCAGCTGTCGTCGTCGGACTGCTGGACTCCTGGAGCCTCAGAGGGAAGCAAACAGGCTGCAGCTCAAACTGTAGCAGCTTTAATGCATTTAAGTTCATGTCTGACTAGTTAAAATGCAGTAACTTCAGTTTATAGATAAGCAGCAATAACTTGGATTCATTTAAAAGGAATCAAGCTGAATATCTGCAGCGTGCACACATGTATGTATGAACAGCTTATTTTCTACAGAGGTGCTAGTTTTATTTCCTGCATGTAAAGTGTGTTTGGATAATTTAAAATGCACAAAATCTCCTATATTCTGTTACTTTAGTAATATTTGGGAACACGTGGCTGTCTTTGCTTCCCCAGTGGTGTGAAATCCTAATTCTCATTCAGGCCAGTGGAGAGAGGACGAATATGTTGTTGTTTTTTTTCTACTTTTGTCTCATGCTAGTCTCCATGTTCTCCCCGTGCAGCGTGGGTTCTCTCTGGGTTCTCCTAACCAGCACACTTGCCCCCTAAACAGCACACTTGGCCCCTAACCAGCACACTTACCCTACTGCGGGGTAGGAGGAGACCTCATATTCACTAACAGGCTTTCTTCAATTGTAAACATTATTTCATAAAGAGAGAAAAAGTGAAAATACTTAAGGAATAAGAAAATAAACTTAGAACTGAGTATTTTACAATATCACAGATGTAAAGTGTTGCAGGTTTAAAGTGGGCCTACAGCGCCCTCTAAAGGACATGTGCAGAAACAGCAACACCAAAGAAAGATGATCAAATATTGGTTTTATTTTTTTTCATTGTAGTTTAAGAAACAACAGCACATAAACAAACGCTGACAAGCTTAATCAGATAATTGTGTAATAAGAGAAGGGACACTTTTTCACAAAATTAAAAAAAGAAAATGTCTTTAATCAGACAAAGACGTCGTTAGTTTGTTCATGCAGAGGACAGTTTTGAGATTTTGAGCTCTTTTGCATCCAAACATCCAAAATGATGTTTATTTTATTACATTCTCTCGACTGTACATGTATGCAGATGTGCTCGTTTGTTTATTTGTAGCAGTGGTGAGACACAATTTTAAAAAATGAATCTAATTAATTAGAGCAGGGGTGTCCAATCCTGGTCCTGGAGGGCCACAGTCCTGCATGTTTTAGATGTGTCCCTCTTCCAACACACCTGATTCAAATGATCAGCTCATCATCAGGCTCTGCAGAAGCCTGATAACCATCCTGATCATCATCATCATCCTGATCATCATCTTGGCTACAGGTTACAGCTTCAGAGAGTGTCTGCAACCCAACTGGTCGAATCTACAAGGGTGGGACTTGTGCGGACCGGGTTGACTGTCTGAGACACTCCATTGGCTCTTCAGGCTGTCACTCACCCACCAAAGCCCTCCTATTGGCCAAACTAGGTGTCAATCAAAAGCTGAGCCGTCCGTCTTGCTGCCTGTAGCGCTTTCAGCGCGATCTGAAATAGATTCAGGCTGATTTTACCAGAAGAAATGAATAAAACAGCCGGAGCTGATCTCAAGCTGGGAAGACATTACTGCAGAGTTTGTGCCTTTGAGGATCTAATACGTTTTACGGACCGAATTATTTGTACGGGATGATGTTGACTGGTTGTGTCCGGACAGAATGAGACCAAGCTGGTGAGGAATGAGCGATGTTTGAGCTGCAGAGAGCCTTCAAAAGTAAGAAAACTCCGATTTTAACATGTTGCTTTTCTGTACAAAAAGCTCTTTGTGTCAACGCTGTGGTTGCTGCAGGTCAAAAAGGTTTATATCATCGGAAAGAGGAGACTCTGAGCTTTCATTTGATGTTTATGTTGTCGGGAAACGTGATTGTGGAGCATGCGCACATCTGGCTGTAATGTGTTTGGAAAGTGGTCACGTGGTCCCGCCGGCGGGCCGTGGGAGCGGTAAGGGCTTAAAAATACTCTTCTTAAATATTTTTTTTTTTAAAAATTGGAAGTATATTTTGAGTGAAATCAGCCTTTAAAACTACGTGGCGCACCCTGAACTAGAAGCCGTGCACTTCTCCGGCCGTAGCAGAGAGTCCAGCCTCTCCGTGCAGCCCTCTACCAGCAGCCTGTACGGGGCTCTCCGGCTCTGCACACACAACCTTCCTATTGGATCCCATCCCGCAGCACGTCACTACGTTTCCGGCCTCATTTACTACTGCTCATGCGCAGAGCCCAGAGCGGCTATTAGTGGTTCTATTATTTAATAGCAAGTTTTGGTAATTGAACCTTTAAATTGCAGCTTAATGTTGCTGTGTCATAGTGATCTGTTCTAAACATGTGAATGGCTCTGAGTGCACACTGTAGTCTGACTGCAGCTCAGATAAAGCAGCTACAGTTTCACTGTGAGACATGCTTTTGGCTTGTTTCCTTTCTTAGAAAAGCAAAGTCTGTGCTTTAATAGTATGAGGCTTTTGATAAAGCATCTTAAACAAATGTATCCATGCAAATAAGGTATTTCCAAAGAAGTTTAGGAGGAGAGATGGTATCGGTATCGGTATCGGCAGATACTCAAAGTTGAAGTATCGGTATCGGAAATCAAAAAGAGGTATCAGTCCATCCCTAGTAGAAAGTATAATCCCTTTTGCATACTAACTGAAAAGGATATAAAAACCTATCAAACAACAACGTACGCTACAAAAAGTAGACTGTGATATGATGATTTGCAGTGTGGAATAAGTACCAGTTAAAGAGGGACATCTGACAACCACACAGGCACAGATTCAGATACACGTACACTCTTCAGGTATAATGTTTGGCAGGGTCTCGTATTTGAAGGAATAGCCGCCGTCAGATGTCGTGGTGATCTTCAGGGACTTCATGGAGCCCGGGACAGGAGCGCAGCACTGACTGACCCCCAGCATCGCCATGGTCCGATCCGCGGCCGAGCAGTTCCCGTGACAGTAGTAGAAAGTCAGCGCCTTCGGATGGACGATCCAGCTGTCCCATCCCAGCTCCTCAAAGCTGATTTCGATCCCCGCTCGGTGGCAGTCGCTGTGCTCGGGTCTCACCTGAGAGGGCCGCTGGAAAAGGTAGACGGCAGAAGGAGACCAGGGGATGGTTGCTGCCGCGTGGCGGGGCGAGCGGACGGGACCACGAGGCCGGATGTGGACGTGGAGGAAGGGCGTCTTGTCCTGTTGGTTTGCGTGGCACTGGCAGGCTGGACAGTGGACCTGCAGCAGGAAAGGACCCTCAGCCACCAGGGTCAGCAGGTTTGGGTCCAGGCGGTAGGTGAGCCACCCGTCAGGGCTCGTGGCTGATGGACCCTCTGCTGCCTGAAGGAGCTGCTGGGATGACGTGAGCATGAACAGCGAGGAGGAGGAACTGGCCGGGGCTGCTGCTCCGGCGTAGAACCAGAGGTGGGCAGATGTGGCCACAGTGTCGTGGCTGCTGATGGAAGGCTGGAAGTAATACGTGAAGCGTGTGTTTGTAGTTTCTCCTGGAGAGGAGCCAGATGTGGCACAGCTGGAGTCTGCCGAGGAGACAAATCACATCAGAATGAAGGCTACAGAACACACTGAGGGATTTCTAGACACAAAGTCTTCAATACGGATCATTTCTAGAGAACAGCTCCACTTAAATCTTGCTTTGTTCTGACCTTCAGCGGAGGAGCGACTGGACTCGGGTCACTGTGTTGATATGATGACAGCTGACACGGTTCTGACTGAACACGTTCCTTTAAAGCTCACACTGAAAGTCTTGTCGGGCCTTTAAGTTTCCACTCTTTCAATGTGCCACCAGGACACAAGTTTGTCTCTAAAAATGTGTTTTCCTTCTCACATTTTATCTAATGTATAAATTTAAAAATGCACATTTTTGGCTTTATTTGTCTCAGACTTGCTGCATACATACGATGAGTTGGAATTTCCAAACATTAAGATAATCAGAAGAAAGCGATGGACCCTGTACGGTGCATTTAATATCCACTGTTTATGTTTATAACAAATCCAGAATGTACACATTTATATGTAAATGTTCAGATATTTATAACTCAGACTCTTCAGTGTGCCTTATGGAGTTAAATCATGTGGCTGCTGAGCAACTCTGCTATTCATCTTCATTTAAAATCCACAAAGCCCAACTTTTCCGAGGAAGGCAGCTGATAGGGTGCACGTGTCTGGAAATCATTAAATGACATTAATGCTGCAGCCGTCTAAAAAAATAAAATGTTTCAGTCGATGGTTTGCTGCATAAAGAATCATTTTCCTCTGGAAACAAGGTCTCGTTTATAAAAAGAAAAAAAAAGAAAAATCTCCATGACGGAGGTTTGGAGAGAAACTGGTCAACTAAGCACTTCAGAAGAGTTTATGTAAGAAACAAAAGCTTCTTACCAGAGCCGGGGAACAGAATCATTTGGGACGCCTCCTGCTCTGGACGGGTTTCTGGACTGACCCATTTGGTTCTGCTCGTCCTGGGGACCCTCTGATGCATGCGCCTCGTCTCCGGTGGTGTCACATCACCATCAGGACCCCGTGCTGTGGAAAGAGGGGCTTCCTCCAGCCTCAGGCTCTCCAGAACTCGCTCTCTGAACCCGGCCAGCACGGCCTCCCGCGGCAGCTCCTCTTCACAGCAGGCTTCCGTCAGAATATGGATCCAGAACGGGCCCAGGAGGACAACAGCACAGGACACCATGACTGGACGGTATGATGACTGCTGCTGGGAACAAAACATCCTCCAGAAAGAAGGTTTGATGATTTGTCTCTGGTTCAAAGAAGTCTCCAGCTAGCTCCAGAACATGGATCTTCTGCAGTGACTTTACTGGTTCTCACACAGATCTGCTGGACTCTGCAGCTCTCTGGGTCGGACTGAAGTCTGCAGGAAAAGCATTCTGTTGTTGGCATTCACATGAAAGATAACAAAGAGCGTCCTTGACGGATGGGATGTTGTATTCTCTGTTTCACACAGTATGAAGGAATGTGTGCATGTTTTATTTTCTGGTTTTCTGAGTTGACTTTGGGTGACTCAGGTGACCTCAGCACGAGTTCAGCTGCTTACAAACACATGTGTGTGATTAATGTAAAGCACAGATGGATGAAATACACGAACTTATTCTTGGATTGCATTGTTATTCTACAGTCTGCAGACTTGGTTTTCTGAGGTATTCTGCTGAATGTGAAACGTTCTCTTTATATTCTGGCTGTATTATAATCTGCAGAAACCAGCTGCGTACAGCAAACAGTCTTTTATTTAGATGGATTATTTCTACTCTGGCTTCTTGTGTTGTCAGATAGCTGGGGCTTATTTTTTTACAGGGTTGTATTTGAACATGGCTCCTTATCTTTCATGGTGACTGAAGACTGAATTCTCTGGGCTTAGACAGCTATGACTTGTTGTTTGAATTCTTTTAAAGAGTTTTTATTCCTCAGTCACTTTACAACGCAACAGATCAAACATTTTCTTTCGATGAACTTTGACTCTCAGTATTTTTACTTGGTCACACTTTTT